GGAGAGGCAATATAATCCAGGAGCATAATATCATTTTACAGCCAAATTGCCTGCATTTGAACCCAGGCTCTGTCACATCCATACTTGCTGAGTGATCTGGGGCAAGTTACTCAACCTTCCTCTGCCTCAATTTGTTCTCCAAACTAGTGATATTACAGGTTTTATGGGGATTGAAAGAGTTAAGTTATGTAAGGCATTTTAAAAAATCACAAGAACATAATTAGTATTCATTAATTGTTGGATAAAAGAAAAGGACAGGCACGGTGGCTCAAACCTGTAATCCTAGCACTCTGGGGGGCCAAGTTGGGAGGATCACCTGAAGTCACGAGTTCGAGACCAGCCTGAGCAAGAGTGAGACCCCATCTCTACTAAAAATGGAAAAATTAGCCGGGCGTGGTGGCACATGCCTATAGTCCCAGCTACTTGGGAAGCTGAGGCAGGAGAATCGCTGGAGCCCAGGAGTTTGATGTTGCTGTGAGCTAGGCTGACGCCACGGCACTCTAGCCCAGGCAACAGAGCAAGACTGTGTCTCAACAAAAAACAAAAAACAAAACAAAAAAAAAAACAAAGAAAAGAAAAGGAAAGTCTTCACAATATATTTCTAAGCAAAAAAAGATCCAGAACAGCATAGTATGTTACCATTTGTATGTCTATAGAAGTAAAGACTATTTCTGGAAAGCTAAACAAGAAAAGTATAACAATGAATCCTCTGGAAAAGAGATCCTGGAAGGCGTGGGACAGAGAAAAAAGAGAAATATACTCTCCTCTTCATATTTTTATGTAAATTTTGAGTTTTCTACAATGTATTCACCTATTCAAATAAACAAATACAATTAATTTTAAATAAAAAATTAGTAATAAGCACTTATAAAATCAGGAAAATGTGAATTTCAAACACAAGTGTCATGCCAGGTAAAAAAGCAGCAAACCAATTTAATTTTTAAATAAACTGTGTTTCTTCCCAGAACTACCAGAGTGATCAATCTCTTGGATCTTGCAGCCTCCTCTGGTCTTTGTTATTTGTGACCTACTTTTGTAACTCTTACTTCTTGCCTTTCCTCCTTTTATCTTTTCACAACCTCACAGATATCTTCTATTATCTACAATAAACTATTCTGATAGAACATCTTTTGTGCTTTTTCCCCCAAAGCTCTTATGTTTACTAATTCTTTATTCTACTGGGTGACAAATCAGCACTTGATTTCAGTCAACATCTTAATATATGTCTAAAACACAAATATCTGCAGATATTGCATATGTATATGTATACATATACCACATATACAATTACACATATGCATAATATGCTATCTTCTTAAGGCATACAAAAGCTGATTTTGTATTTTAAGAACACAATCATATCTATTTCAAAAATGGTATTTATTATTTCAAACATACTTTAAAACCCACACATAAAGTGTGATTTGAAATGAGTTTTCTGTGTAAGCTCTTGAGTCAGTCTGTCTGCATTTAAATCTAGCCTCTGCCACTTACTGGCTGTGTTACTTTGCATAAATTACATAACCTCCATGTTCTTCAGTTTCCTCATCTGTAAACTTGCATTTATAATAGGATCGAACATTGGGATGTTATAATAGCAAACTAAATGAGGTAACAGACATTTCAAACAATCTCTGACATGCAGTAAGTGCTTAATAAATATTAATAATGTTAATATTATAAAACTATTATTATAAAAAGTAGTGAAAGTGTATGTAGTAAAAGATTAGTTGGTAATAAGTGTGTCTATAAAGTATAAGACTAATTTTTTAAAAAGGAAATTCATCTAAAACCTTCTTACAATTATTAAATCAGTATATACTTAGAACTGATTATAAGCCATATTATTTAAAAAACAAAAATTTTTATTTCTGGAAAGAACATGCAAACATAATTGCAAAAGGAATGTTATATTTATTTTAGATTATTCTTCAAAGGACTATGTTTTTAATATCTGATGCTCCTTATTTCCTAATCCCAATTCAGGCTACAAAATCCAGTGACTAATAATGAGAGCAGTAATCATTATCTGGCCAATGGATCTCAAGTTATTTAATCCCTGAAGGAATAAATATTTTCTATCTTACAACACCATAAAATACATATTTAAAAACTCTTCAAATAACCACTTGGAGTTATATTATTCCAATCGCCTCTTTGTATTATAACATACCATAAAAAAATTCAAAGACTGGAATCACAAAAACAGCTGAGACAACAATTCTGGAGAAACATAAAATACATTTTAAGGATCAAGAGTTAATCTTTGATAGACAGAGAATTTATACAGTTAAAAAAAAAGAGTTAATATTCAGGGAACTTTGTCCAGTAAAATGCAATGCCCTTCACTTATCTAATGGATCATCTCTGGAAGGTGCAGAAATCGGCATTTCAACACTCCCCCCACCTCCATAATTTTCACATACTGCCATTTTAAGAACAAGTGAGGAATAATGAAACAGAAAGGGTTAATTTAAAAGTCTCCATGTAGGTGGTGAATCTTGAGCAAATTTCAAGGAGGGTAGGAAAATTAAGTGCTAGGGAGGAATGAAGCAGTGATTCCAAGCCAAAGGGATGGTATGTGAGATAGCTCAGTTTCGAAAGATGTTTAAGCAACCTAGACATATAGAAGTAACCACCCCTGTCCGGAGTAAGCAGCTGAGGCACAGCAGATGAACAGGCAGGACTGTCAATCAAAACACCAGGCTTTCACTATTTAATTCTTCTCCTGGTCTCTAATACTGTTTTTCGTTACCTACTCTGGAAATATAAGCCTCCAAAGTAGTGTAATACTAACTGGCAGAGAGGAGGACCAAAACAACCTAAGCAAAGGAAGGTGCTTTTGTTTTCAACACATAACAAGAATCTTAAAAAAAAAAGTAAAAGGGTAAAAAAGTCACTTCGGTTTTTGTACTGGATTATTACAGTCAAACATTAATAAAGATAGAACTTTCATATAAGGGAGTCTTTTAAATCAGCTAACTAAAAAATAATTATGCAAATTTAGAAGTTTGTTCAAATTTAGAGTGGAAAAAATGTAAAATAAGAAATTTAAACCATTACAAGATCAATTCTAATGTAACTGGTCAGTTTGCACATCTGTATAATGACAGTTTAAAACTAGGTGACTTCTAACATCCTGTCTAGTTCAAAGTCTAAAGCTGTATAAGTTCCTCAAACTTTGAATTAAATATACTAGATTGTTTAAAAACTATAATGCGAGCTTATTTTGATTATTCAAATAATCCTGAAATGTTAAAATATTAATAGCTGCATCCCATAAACAATTCAGCTATACTGTTTTCAGACTTCCTGTTAGCATGTGTCCTAAATAAATGACGAGCAAAAATAACTATTTCTCTTAGACTGCTAATATTAACAGCATACAACATAGCTACTCACTGAGGTATTATAAAAGGCCCTGCTGTCATAGAATCCTAAGACTCGTGAAAATAAGAGAAACGTAATCAGCTAACCAGTAAATATTATGCCAAACACAGTTCACTGACAATCTTAAATTTTGAAATATTTAGATTAAATGCAAAATTTGAGATATTTATCACGCAAAACAGGCAGCACTACTTCACAATCTGAGTATCACTGTATATCTTCTTTGGTTAAATAGGAAGAAACTTCCATGGTACTCTTCCCTCCTAATTCTGCCATTCTTAGTATGCACATTACATATTTTCCATGTTATTATAAGAGAGATGCACTGCACAGAAGTATCCATTAGGATAAGATTTTATCTATACTGCAATCGAATGTGGGATAAGTAAGGTTATCATAACGAAGTTTTATATGGAATATGTATTTCTTAATGTAAGATGATTTTGTGTAGTAAAGGGGAAAAAATAGAGGAAGTCTGCTTCCTTAGATTCTCCATAATTATGTACTTTATTCCTTTTTTTTTTGCTGCCACTGAAGACAGAATATACTTTATTCTTAAATTAAGGGACTCATCTGCAGGATTAACACATCTCTTACAATTTAAAAGACAAATAAAGCAATCCCGGAGGTCTAGGAATAAATTTTGCTTCTATGTGGAAGATAATTTGGTTTTATGTTTCTCTTTTCTTTTTCTTTCTTCTTTTTTTTCTTGCAAATAGGCACACAACCAATGCAGAAAGATAATTTGTTTTTAAATCTAAGTAACATTTATGGACCATGGAGAACTCAAAATTGGAGGGCCCAAAGACGTAGGCAAAATAAAAACAATTGCCATTAAAAACCCTTCCCTGATGGTCAGGCTGAACCTGCTGCCGTATTTGCCACTTTTATAAACCCACCAGTCTGATCGAGAACCCTTTCTTTAAGAGTAACTTTTAAACCATGAATTTTTAGAGTTAATGCAACAATAACACTGTTGTAAGCTTAACTGATACTTGCAGATCAATGATCCAGGAGATAATTACACTTTGTGACTATCAGCAAATTAGTAACCACACCTCTTAAGACCGTGCTCCATCAAAGGGTGGAGTTCGCTAAAAATTCTTCTTTGCTTTGAACTGGCATGTTTGTTTTGGAATTACACTAAGATTTTGTAAACACTCGTACAGTAAAGCTAATGACTTTACCTAATATCTACGTCTGAAACAGAATCAGTTTTAGGGAAGGCACCATACTTTACTATGAAACTGGGTCTTAGTTACCTAACGATTCATAATAAGGAAAATCCACTTCCACTGTGCATCCCAAGAATTAAAGCAGTTTAAAAACTCAAAGCCCAATGACAATGTATTACTCCGTGAAAAGTGTTTCCTTTGGGTTCTAAGAGAGGCACTGGTATTAAAACAGAACTTAATGGTTCAAGTCTCCAGTTTCCTCTTTGCTTAATTTTTTTAAACCTAGAAAGGGCCCATTTGAGGATACTCTGAAAACCTATGGAAAGAGGGGTTTTGGAGGAGAATGGTCAAATTAAAATAACTGTATGAAGCAAAGCGAACTCCGAGTTCTTTAACTGCACCCAGGCTAAGCAGGGAGAAGAGAGGGAATCTTACCTGCCAGCGGCCATAGGTGAGAAGGACGATAGAAATGGGGATGGCGGTGCCAGACATGGCATGGGTGGAGGGCATGCTGTACTCGGAGTTGTAGAAGACCTCCAACTTGACCACCGGCGGCGAGGCGGGCCGCGGCCAGCGGATAATGTCCTTGGTGCACTGGCCCAGGTACATGACCAGCACCCAGATGACCACGAGCCTCCGGCCCACCAGGGGGTCCAGGTTCCAGATCCAGAAGGGGAAGAACGTGATGTAAAAGAGTTCGTTGCCCAGCTCCGTGCCGAAGCAGAACAGGTAGTAGAGCGGCCAGTTGTTCACGCAGGCCAGCTCGCCCTCCTCGCCTGTCAGCGAGTTGCGGCGCAGGGCGCCCGCGCGCCGTGGCGGGGCCGGGCCCAGCTCGGCGGCCAGCCCGTTCCGCACGCCGTTGGGGGCGCCGCCGCCGTCCGGCTTGGCCGGGCACTGATTGCGGTCGCTCCCGGGCGGCTGCGGGCCTCCGGACGCGCCCGCCTGCCGCCCTCGCAGCCGGGGGTCTCCGGCCAGGGGCGCCTCCGCCTTCTCATCCTCCCTCGGGTCGGCAGAGCGGCTCGGCAGCGCTTCCACCCCGCACAGCCGCTGGAAACGGGCCACTTTCTGCGGCTCCTGCAGACGGCCAGCCAGCTGGGCCAGGCGCTGCCTCAGCGACATGATAGTGGGACCCGCCAGGAGGGCAGGCCAACCCCCGGCGCAGCCTCGAACCGTCCCTGCGCGCCTGGCCAGCGGCAGCAGCAGCTGCGCCTCCCTCGAACCGCGGGAGTCTGACGGGTGACGGCGCCACAGGCCGCAGCCGCCGCCGCGCGCCCTCGCCCCGCGCGCCCCTCCCCCGTCGCGCGCGCTCCGCCCCCGCCCGCGGCCTCCACGCGCCCGCGCGCGCGCCGCGCCCCGCCCCCACCGCCGCTCCGACCCGGCCGCTCTGAGCCAACCCCGAACGCACCCGGCGGCGCCTTAGCGCCGAGGCTCTACGGCCGGCGGCCGTGAGGTTCCCTGTAATACCCACTGCCAGGCGTTGCGGTGCTCGGCTAGCGGGACGTGGCGTGTCCGCCTTCTCCATCTTCAGCCCTCGTTCCCCGCAGACTAGTGTTGCCGGATTCCCTCTGCGAAACACTGACTACAAGAGGCCACGATCCTGGTGCTAGTTTCAGCGGTGCCAGTGACCAAGCAGCCGGACATCCTGTTGGCACAGCATCAAGTGGTGAATGATGAATGCAGGCGAAGCAACCACCATGCGCCCGGAATCGCTCGACTCAAGTAATTAACAAGTAATTACAGAGCTGTCCCGGATGATTGACGTCCGGAAAGCCACGTGCCGATTGACCAGTGGTGGTAAGACTAGACGTAGACTCCAGTACAGGACCCGGATATATAATCAGTAAAATTAACAACTATGGTCTACAAAAGAAAACCCAATCACCTACAAATTCAAAATGTTGTGTCATTCGTCAGATATCTTGGCAAACGTTAAGAGAGCACAGGTGTTGTTGACTTCCGTGTAAGATTTCCTTTTAGGAAATTCTGATCCCTAGGGAGCTTGCACTGAAGAAATGTAAATGGCTGAAGGCAGTGTGTAGATTTGTGAGTTTGATAAGGTTGACCTTTAGGGGCTAAACTTCCCTAACAAGTTACAAACTTGACTTCTTGATAGAACAGTTCATATTATAAGGTCTCTGAACTCTAATTCCAGGAAGTTGTTTCAGGTAAGGTGAATGTCTATAATTAAAGGATTCGAACTACTTCTAAGAAACAGGCAGAAAATTTTCCCATCCCTTTAAGTCATTAGAAATATTTTTATAATATTTCCCAAGGAAGGTACTCTCCTCCCTCTCCACTTGCTAAACTGTGACCATGAAAAGAGGAATAAATCATCATCCATACCTTCAAGTTGCTCACGGTATAAAAGGGAGATAGAGATAGACAGGACCACCTCTAGAGTATAGAGCAGATGGCAGGTGTAAAATGGATACATAAACAGCATGCCCCGGAAAGAAAAAGGAAAAAGTTTGACTAGGGGCAGCAAGAAAGGTGTTAAAAGGTGATCCTGTTTAGCTGGATTGTAATTAAAGGGCAAGATATAAATAGGTGAAAAAGCCCATTTTAGGAAGAGAAAATGAAGAAAGATAGGGGATATGAACGTGCAAAGATGTTTCTGGTAAACAATAGCTCATAGAATAAGAAGGAAGGGTGATT